CACTAGTGGGACGGAGGGTCAGAACCCAGGGTGGCCAAGAGCACAAGGCTGGAGTTTGGCTGCCTGGCTGGTTTCTGTACTTCCCAATGAGTCATGCGATCAAGGGCAAGTCCCCTGCCTCTCTGAGCCTCTTTGCCATCTGTCCAATGAGGGTAATGCAGCATTCATCTGCTGACTTATTGTGAGGATTGAAGAAGATCATGCATATGGAAACTGTCATTAGCCTGGTTGATCAAATCCTTCCCTGATTGGTAGATTGGATACTTGGCTAGAAAATACTCATTGGATTTTCAGTGATTCATAGGGGAATGTGTTGTTTCTGTTCAGTGCCATCAAATTGGTTCTGACTCATAGTGACCCTGTATAGGGTTTCCAAGGAGTGGTGGCTGGGTTTGAATTACCAACCTTGTGATTAGCAGCCAAGTGCTTAGTCCAGAACTCCATTATGGGAAATGGTGGTGATGGTAACTGTGTGCTATCGAGTCGGTTCCGATTCATAGCAACCCCAGGCTGGACATGTTGAGGGGAGCAGGAAGTTAGCTTTCTCCCGATTAGGGGGATAGACGGTAACAAATTGGTCTGTATGTTTTCTGTCCCCTCTAACCATGACTCAGGCCCCTGAATAATGATCCATTGTGGCCTGTCACACTTGGATGTGACTTGAAGTCCGTTGGGTCTTGACTTATGGATTTTTCAAGAAACTGTTTAGGCAAACGTCTCACAGCAAGTACATGTCAAGAGGAAAGCCTGAGCACAGCTCTTGGAAGATGTCCAGGTCAGACTTCCTGGTGGCTCCTGCCTTGCCCAGCTTTCATCACAATCTCTTTCATCACCAGCCCTCAGCTAGCCTCCTGAGCCTGACTCTCCGAAGCCCTCTCCAACATGCTGTTCCTGAAGATCTAGTTACCGGTTCACTGAGTCCTGCCACCTACTTACTTCAATTATACCTCAACCAAAACGCAATTTATCTACTGGATCCAGAGTTCTCCCTCTGTGAGGTGGTCTGGACCCACCCTGCTGTCCCCTAGTGGTGGGTCACTCCTGATGAGAGCTGGGGCTGCAGGAGAAGTAAGTGTGTGGCAGCAGCCATGCCTGTGGCCATGACTTCAGCCTTATCCAGACACTGGGGTGATCAAAGTGGGGCAGAGATTAAGGAAGAACTAGGACAATGCAGAACTCCAGGGGTACAGATCACATGCAGAGCCATGGCTGAACTACTGGGAACTCTATCCAGGAAACCCAAGTGTTACTCACTTTATCACGTGACCTTTCTTCTCCTAATAAGTGTAGTCCTGGTTTACTTTGGCTATTGTCACCTGAACCGAAGACACCGGAATATGGAAAACATGCTAGCTTGGGAAAGCCTGGGTCTTAGAAAACCGGGCGGCCTGAAAGTTGTAAAATTATCCCAGATGATTTATCCCCAGCCAGACCTACGAAGTCCCACTAGGAAAGATGTCCTTGTTGTGACTCCTTGGCAGGCTCCTATTGTCTGGGAGGGGACCTTCAATACTGACATTCTGAATGATCAGTTTCGGCACCAGAATGCCACCATTGGATTAACTGTGTTTGCCGTAAAAAAATACGTGATCTTTCTGAGTTCTTTCCTGAAGAGCGCAGAGAGCTTCTTCATGGTGGGGCATAGAGTAAATTATTATGTCTTCACTGACCTGCCACACACTGTTCCCCGAGTTCACCTCCAAAATGGAAGACAGTTGTTTGTCCTCAAGGTCCGGAACTATACCCGCTGGCAAGACATCTCCATGCATCGCATGGAAATAATTAGCAATTTCTCCAAGCAGCGCTTCCAACGTGAGGTGGATTACCTGGTGTGTTCGGATGTGGACATGAAGTTCAGGGATCACGTGGGTGTGGAGATCCTCTCCTCTTTATTCGGCACCCTCCATCCTGGCTTCTTCGGTCACAGCCGGCAGAGCTTCACCTATGAACGCCGAGCTCTGTCACAAGCCTATATATCTCAGGATGAAGGGGACTTTTATTACATAGGCGCCCTTTTTGGGGGGACAGTACAAGAGGTTTACCGGCTCACCAAGGCCTGTCATGAGGCAATTATGACCGACAAAGGTAATAACATCGAGGCCGTATGGCAAGAGGAGAGTCACTTGAACAAGTATCTACTTTACTACAAACCCACCAAGGTCCTCTCCCCAGAGTATATGTGGGATAATCGCATGCTATTGCAAATGACACCTATACAGCTGCTACAATGGAACATGGTCATCCGTAAGAAGAGATTTGTGATATTGATAAAGAATTATGAAACATTGCGGTCCTGATGAGGAAGCTTTCAGGAATGGTTCAGAGAGGCATGATGAGCAGGCAGCCCTAGTCTTCCTCCTGACACGCTGTCATAAATTAAAAGCAGTTTTAGCAGAAAGGGTTTAACTCCACTTCCTTGTTCTGTGTTGAGACAATTTCTTATTCTAAACCCCATATTTAGGCACACCTACCATCCCCACCTCCTCACACATTTAAGTAGACATGATTCTTCGTTCGGAGATGAGTTCCTTGAGTTGCCACCACCTTAAGTTTCTCACAGTGTGCTCCTAACACCCATTCAGGATGGATGAGGCAGGTGGTGTCAGCCTGTTCTGACAAACGACATCAGAGATGAATTTTTTTTTCCCCAGAGCATGGAAGGATTCTTTTGGGCACAGAGTCTCTTGCCTTCTGTGACACCTGGTCACACTTGGTCAAGTACTTTCACACGTATCTTCAGCTTTATGTCAAGTTAAGTCCTCTGTTTCGGTTAAACATTGGATTCTCCCTTTAATGGGCAGCCAGGGGAAGAAATGATACTAAATTAAGACCCTCTTTGCTGTTACCTTGTTTCTTATCTAACTCTAAGTATTGTTCACAGTTCTCTGAAAGCCATGAAGCACAGCCCACCCCACCCTTCAATGACTATTCTAGTGCATTTCAATTTGTGTATGACATGCTCGTTCCTTATCAACTGAAAAAAATATTTCCTGGCAATAATAGTTAAGGTCCTAGTTATCATGAAAACTTGTGCCTTTTGCTTAAAAATGATCAGGGCCCTTCAGCAGGATTTTGAAATCATGCATTTTCTTGGAACTACTTTTTACCTCCACATGCACTGTAGTTCTTTTCATTAAGTGCTGTCAAGTTGGTTCCAACTCATAGCAATTCTGTACAGGGTTTCCAAGGAGTGACTGGTGGGTTTGAACCTCTGACTTTATGCTTAGCAGTCCAGTGCTTATCCTACAGTGCCACACCAGGACTCCATTTGCTCTCTTCATTTCTCTTCTGTGGTTGGTAGATCTTCACACTAAGGCCCTTTTCTGACAGTAAAAGGCTCTGATTCTAAGGTGTATCTTTTTCTGAGTCAATGTTGAGCAACCATTTTTGTTATCAGGTTCCATCGAGTCAGTTCCATGTCATAGTGGCCCTTGGTACAACAAAGCAAAACACTGCCGTGTCCTGCAACATCCTCACAGTCTTTGCTGTGTTTGAGCCCACTGCTGTAAACATCAACCCCTAGTTTTAATGGTGTTCTTCTTTTACACTGACCCTGTACCACGTCTCAGTTATCTGTTTCTGCAGTAACAGAAATACCTCAACTCAATGACTTTACTAAGTACATACATTTTCTCACACTTTAAGAGTTTAGAAGTCTGAATTCAAGGTACAAGTTCCAGAGGAAGGGATCCTCTCTCTACTGGCTCTTGGGGAAGGTCCTTGTCATCAGTCTTTCCCTGAGTCTAGGAGTTTCCAAGTTCAGGGACCCTGGGTCCAAATGACAAGCTCTTCTTTTGCATCTTCTTTCTTGGTGGTCATAGGTTCCTCTGACCTATGCTTGGTGTTTAATCTCTTTTATATCTCAAAAGAGATAGACTCAACTTTACATCAAGTATCAATCCTATTCTGTATACAGGGTAGATAGGGACGGGCAACATAGACATCGGCTACCTAAAATGAGGGGGTGATAAAGGCAGGAAGTGGCTGGCTTACAAATTTTCTAGAGGAAGTTTAGTTTTGAGTATGCGGGGAAAAGTAGAATCCCCACTGAAGAGTTTTCATCTTGTCTAGACAGGTCTGGTGAAAAGAGATAGCATTAAGATTCTTATGATTTAATAGTGAATAATTGTTATCATGACTAATTGTGACTGTCACAGCTGTAAAGGTAGAAGTTTTGTAACAAAAGCAGGGAAGTAGTTAATCTTACAGTCCAGAAACAGAGGACCCTAGGACAATCAAGGGAGAAGAGCACGAGCGGAATGTGGGACCCTATCCAGAGGAGCAGCAACACCAGAGATGGAGGCAGAGATGAGAACATGGAGAAATAGAGCAGCTGAGGACTCTAGACTCATGGAAAGAGAAAGGCTATGTGCGGTGGCCAGGAGGCAGGCTTGCAGAATGTGCCCTTTGGCTGTTTAAATGATTATATGTTCCTGAGTGGTTTTGTGTACATTCCCCTCCTCTGCCCCTCCTCAAAAAAACATAAAGGGAATAAAAACAAATACTGTTGAATTATAATGTATGGAGGAGATTGTAATCATTGTAATGAAATGATGGTGTAAAACCGATGTTCTCCCATGTAAACTATTACTCAGTTCACAATAAAAACTTTGAAAAAAAAAAAAGAGAGAGAGACTCAAGATACACTTTTAGGCTGTAAATTGTATCCTGCCTCATAAACAGGGCTGCCACTTATCTTGCTTCATTAACATTATAGTGGTAAAGATTTACAACACATAGGATAATTAAATCAGATTACAAGATGGAGACTAATGTTAAGAATCATGGCGTAGCCCTGTTGGCATATATTTGGGGGTAGGGGGCACAATTTGATACATAATAACCTAACACCATGTCCTTCTCTAGAGACTGTCTCTTGATACACGTCCAAAGTGTGTGAGGCCGTGTCACAATCCTTACTTCTAAAGGACTTTCTCGCTGTATATTCTATATTCTTCACCAACACCATAATTCAAGGCATCAGTTTTTCTTAAGCCTTCCTTATTCACTTGTGCAGATTTTGCATGCATACGAGGCGATTGAAAATACCATGACTTGGGTCAACCAGACCTTAGTCCTCAAATTGATATCTTTACTTTTCAACCCTTTCAAAGGTCTTTTGCAGCAGATTTGTCCAATTTAATAGTCCTCTAATTTCTTGAATGCTGCTTCCATGGGTGTTGATTGTGAATCCAAGTAAAATGAAATCCTTGACTTCAGTATTTTCTCTATATCGTAATATAACTGATCTAGTTACGGAGGATTCTTGTTTGCATTATGTTGAGTTGTAATCCACAACGAAGACTGTAGTCTTTGATCTTCATCAGTAAATGCTCAAGTCCTCGTTGCTCTCAAACCATTTCTACACAAGAACAATTCAGGAAAAATGTTTTCTTCCTAATTCAAAATGAAAACCGCTTAGTTGGGATGAGAGAGGCCCAGTCCCCGGCCATGGCAACAGAACAAACCCTAGAGTCTAGATCTTCTCCTGTCAGTCCATTGTGGCTGTGGCTTCAGGGTTAAGTGATAACTCAAACCTTTCCTCCTCTGGTCCCACAAGAGGTCTCACAGCAATGTCCCAACCTCTAAACTCAGCTGCAAAAGAGCATGGGTGGGCAACTTGGACATTGGCTACCTAAAATGAGGGGGCGATGGAGGCATGAAGTGACTGGCTTACAAAGTTTCAAGAGGGAGTTTAGTTTACGAGTGTGTGGGGCAAGAGAGAATCACCACTGAATCGTTTTCATCTTGACTAGATGGGTCTGGTTAAAGGAGATGGGGATAACATTCTTATGATTCAATAGTGAGTAATAGTTATCATGACTAATTGAGACTGTCACAATTGTAAAGGTAGAAGTTTTGTAACAAAAATGGGGAAGTGGTTAATTTTGCAGCCCATTAACAGAGAACCCTAGGACCATCAAGGGAGAAGCACATAAGCAGAATGCGAGACCTTATCCAGGGAAGCAGCAAGACCAGAGATGGAGGCAGAGATGGGGACATGGAGAGAAGGAGCAACTGAGGACTCTAGATACATGGGAAGAGAGGGACTAAGAGTTGGTATCCAGGAGGCAGACTTGCAGAATGTGCCCTTTGGTGGTGTAAATTATTATATATGCCTGAGTGTTTAAAACAAAAAAGAGCTAAAGTGAATAGAGAGAAATACTGTTATCTGATGGTACATGGAGGGGATTATAATCATTGTAATGAAACAAAGTGTATGATTTGTTGACTGTAAAACTGATGATCTACCCTGTAAACTTTCACTCAATTCACAATAAAAGTTAAAAAAAAAAAAAGAGCAGGAGTGTTCACATTGATAACCAAATGTGACTTTTTGTGTGGTATTGTAAAGTATGACAAACTTAGCTCAGTCTGGATATGTGTCCTATAAAGAATCCTCATGTGCTAACTGATGTGTTTAATTTTATGGACTCTTTCTGGAACTATCTACACACAGTATGGTGACAAAGTCATTTGGTTTGGGGGGGATCAAAATAGTCTCCATATATGTATAACTGCTCAGAATAAACCTTAAGTGGAAAAAAATAAAGGTTGGGAGACAAAGGTCCTGAGTCGTCGTCTGGCAGCTTCTGTTGGATCAGCGGCATGAAGGACCCATCACTGCACTTCTGTGGCCCAGTCTGGCCCATTGTGTGTGCCACCCAGCAGGTCTGGGCACTGCCTCGATGGTTGGACTGGTGGACTCAAATGCAGCCTGTACCCCAAACCAGTGGTGTCATGAGGTCTTTGATGCACTTCTCCTGTGGCCCAGTGGTTCCAAACAGCTAGGTACCCCCCACATCTAACTTTCCTGTCCAAGGTAGTAGATAATGTTCCAGCTGCTGTATCTGCTGGTGTTGATTACGGCTGGACCAGTGTTGGAAGTGAAGATGCCCATAAGATGGTGATGAGCATAGGGTGGATCCCACACTACAAGCAAATGAAACAGTCCATGGAAACTCATCATTCAGACCTTCAGAGAGGACTTCTACAGAGAAATCCTCAGTGTGGCCATCACTGGCTACCTGAGACCAGGAAAGAACTTTGATTCTTTAGTGTCACTTATTTCAACCATCCTAGGTGATAGAGGAAGCTAAGAAATGACTAGATTTACTAGAACATTTGAAGCTTAAAGAAAACAATTTCTTCCAGGTTCCTAAAAGCAAACTACTGAATGATCACTGCTGTAAATCATTTATCCATTCACTGTCTTCTAGTAGTTCACTGTTCAATAGCTACGCAGAATCACCTTGGTTGTATTTTTTAAATCAAACATTTTCCTACAGCTGTGAAT